TATTAGCAATTCATGAAAGAGCAAAACATATATATCACTGCAAATCACTACATCTGTCATTTGCCCAGACAGTGAGCATGAAATCTGTATTGAAATACCTTTGAAGAACAGCACTATTGTTTGGAGAATTTGGGATATGAGAAATCAAGTCAGAATTCTTATTTCAGAAGGCAAAAAAATGTAAAGAGAGCTCTCCCAGTCACTGGGACCAAGCCAGCATGGGCAGGGTGGATGCGGATGTGGATTATTCTGGGGTAGCTCTCTCCTTTGGCAGTCAGGGTATGAGCCAGCAGCACATCTGGACTTCCCACTTAGAAATACCGTAAATCACTCTTTTCTGGATGGCTACCTTCTCAGCTGCCCTCAGCATTTTGAGAAGTGGAAGGTCCCAAAGAGCCAGTTACTGTTTTGCTCAGGGCTAACTATGTGCTCTTTATAGCCCTATCTGCTTGTCCACTGCCTGTGATATGTGCCAACTTTGCTCATGTGAAAAACAGATAACTTCCATGATTCGATTAAAGAGCAGCTCCTAAAATAGAAGATAGTTAAATTCATACCATTATGGGGAAAATGGTAGAGAAAAACTGCTCCACCTTTTACTGTGTATTGAGGAAAATAATAATGCTAGCCCTAAAAGATATATGTTCTAGGGGTCAGCAGAGTGGCTCAATTGGTTAAGAGCAGTGAGCTCTGAGCAACAGGGTCACCACTTCGATTCCCATGTGGGCCAGTGAGCTGTGCCTGAGCTAAGCTGCCGCTGAACTGGTGAGAGCATGTGCTCTTAGCAGCAAGATTGCCAGTTCAACACCCATATGGGACGTTGGGCTGCGCCTCCCCGCACCCCCAGCCAACTAAGATTGAACACAGCACCTTGAGCTGAGCAGCCTCAAGTTGACAACGGGCGGCCAGACGGCTCAGTGTGCAACAAGGTTGCCGGTTTGACTCCCTCATGGAATGGTGGCTCTTCCCAACCCCCGCCACCCTGCAACTAGATTGAAAGCAGCGACACTTAGAGCTGATTTTGTTCCCTCCACAACTAAGATTGAAGGACAACAACTTGACTTGGAGCTGATGGGTCCTGGAAAAACACAATGTTCCCCTTCCCCAACTCCCCAACACTGTTCCCCTCCCCAATTCCCCAATAAAAATCTTTTTTTTTTAAAGATACACGTTCTAAGTTATAGCTTTGTAGTTTAATTTGAAATGCATATGTGGAATACCAATTGTTTAATATGTACACATCAATTTCTGAATCATATATTTTCATATATGAGGTCAGCCTTGCACACCCATCTGTTCATTTCTTGATTACCAAATTTGATTTCAGTTGACCTAATAGGATTAAACAGAATTCCCTTCCATTTTCACTGGTTGCACAGGGACATCATTATTCTGTCCAAGATTCTATTCTACACATTTATTAATGTTATGTTATATTCAGTCTCACCCTCACTATCTCTACCAACATTGAGATCTCATTTAAATGACACCACATAATCCATGACATTGCCACCAACTCTATGCAGGGACAGACTTGTACATATTGTAATGAGCACCACCTGTATCTTAAACCCTCCAAGTGATGAGGGCACTTTAAGAGAACAAGCGATTAAAATATCAAACATCTGGGTTTATTAACAGTCACCTAAACTTTCTGATTTTGTGTCACTGGATCAGCACCTTGACCTCTCAATTCCTAGATAGCAATGAAAAAAAAAATGATAACAGTTTTTGTCTACTCCACAGAGTTGTTGTGGTGATCAAAATAGACCATGTAAAGCATACCTAAAGATGTTAGCAGAACATTATTTATAGCATATAAAAATTAAAACCAACAAAAAATATTCAACATAAGGTTAATGGTTTTCTAAATGTTAATACATTCACATGATAGATTATGTTTATTGAGACTTTCATTAAATCGAATAAATGTAATATAATATTATTTTTAAAGAATACAATGTTATCTAATTAAGTAAAAATATATATTTTAAAATCCTGAAAGAAATACACCATAATATTCACAGTAGTTATCACTGGATAGATAGTAAGATAATAGTTGGGATAAAAAATAATAATTTTCTGAATAAAGCTGGAAAAATAAATAGAAAAAATATAAAAGTCACTTGCAACAAAAAATATAATAATTTATTTTACTTTTCTAAAATAAATACATATTTTATAATTGTAAAAGTATTTACAATATATGCAAAATACTTTGTGCACCATAATATGCTCCCTAAATATATGCTAGTTAATATATTTACTTGAATAAAGATAAATAAGACAGTCCATTTTCTGTAGTTTGCTTCATTTCCAAATATAAGTTCAAGTTTCTTAACAATCTAGGATGATACAAAGTGCTATTATTCTAATATTGCAATTTGAGGTATCAAAGCATTAATACATATCAAGCATAAGGTAAGTAAGTATAATATGGATCTAGTTCATTTAATTAACTCAGATGTTAGCATACAATTGTGCTGATAAAAATCAGAGACTTCAAAATAAAAGCTACTTAAACATGAATTTGTTTATGTAAGTGTGGTGGTCAAGCTTATACAGTTAGCACTATTAGAGCTTTATTTTCTTAATGAAAATATTACACACTGCAAAGAAATCTTCATTAGCTAATAATTCATATTAAAAACATTAAGACTCAATCAAACTGACTAACAAATTAGTAAGAAATTGGGATTATGTAATTATTTCAAATAATTTAAAATATTGAGTTACAAAACATTATATCTGTAGATGTATATCAAATATTTTGGCTCAACAGTTGGATAATTTAAAAACTAATTAAAGTTAAGAGAATACTCTAACAATGTATTTCCAATATGTTTTTAATGAGCTATTACTTGGGAGTTAGAAGAGTCAAAATTGTGAGAGGTAAGGGCCGGTCGAGTGGTTCAGTTGGTTAAGAGCTCACTCAAGAGTTTGAGCTCTGAACAACAGCGGTTCGAGTCCTGGCCCGAGCTGAGCAGCCGCTGAGCTGCCAACAGGTGGCAGGATAGCTCAGCTAAACAAAACAAAAACAAAAACAAAAAAATTGTGAGAGGTAATTATTGACCTCATTTAAAAAAATTGACCATGGTATTCATATAATTACACTCTAATTTTTCTAGAATATTTAAAATGTCATAGCTACATTCTGAAACTACTAATTTACACTCCATTAAGGCTCTAAAAATTCTTTGTATATGTATGGGTGTATATATTTGTTTTATTTTTTATTATAAATTTAAAAAGAACATGTTTCAAATGTCCTCTTCCGTTAGTCAAGTTGAGGTAAAAAAGTAGTTTGAACAACCTTGAGATATATTTCTTATTTCTTTTTACTACTAAAGGCTATGAGCCTTGTCCAAGGTCATCAACCCCATAGATGGCAGTCTGTCTGCAGTCAAAGCCAAGTCACTTTCTACTACATCTAGCAATTGTTGAAATTACTGCAAAAGGTACAAAACAATCACTATCAGGGTATCCCCTGAAAAGGAATATCCCTATAGGAAATTAAAGGAATAAATTAATAATGTAAAACTACCACATCAACAATTCTATGATAACAGTTGCTTCACATTTTAACATATCTAAAGTTAAGATGTGTTTTCAAATTGATGATGCCTTAAGCAATCAAGGACATCTTATAACAGTACTTCTTAAATTAGCTATGGTAAAGAATTAAAGTTTGCTTGTTTTTGTTTGTTTGTTTGCTTATCCCTGATTCTTTTATAGCTCTACCCTATTCAGTGAGAATCCACTATTCATGCATGTGGATGTCTGAGAATGGCAAATTGTTACTAACACTTCTAAATGCTTCTCTCAAACTGTTAATGCATGTTATAACCGTTTTTGAACCACATTTTCAGTAGCGTTGTGTTGGAGTCAATGAAATAATGTATAGCCAAAGTTTATTTCATATTATTTTGAATCCCTTTCAATTGATATTTTATTACATATAATTTTGAATCACAATTAGCAAATATTTTTTCTTAAATTTGGGACAAGTAGTAAAATTGACTATTTCACTTTCTTTGCCAAAAATAAATTAAATGGCTGAGGGCAGGGATCAAAAGAAGGAGAAAGAATATTAAGTAATCCACCGATTTGAAACATGGTTCACGAATAATCAAGAAATAGCTATGTCCATCAAATTAAATATTTCTTGCTTCCAAGTACAGTCATTTAATATCTCCTGTTATCCTGGGTTACCTTTCTTTTGAGTTATTTTACCACTGGTGGAACATTTGTTTTTCTTCTGTAGTAAAACTTGTATGTAAGAAATGATCTGGTCACTCATTGACTATAAATTATAAACAATGTTTACTTCCTAATGGTAAAGCTGAATAACGTAAGGCATAAAAAAAGAAAATATGTCCCATCTCACTCTGTGCTAAACAACACCATATAAAAATTAAATAGGGCCAGCCGAGTGGCATGTTGGTTGAGTTGGCTTGGGATGACAGCTCTGATCAGTAGGACATGGTTCGGATCTCACATGAGGGCCAGTGCCCTCTACAGCTAAGATGGTGAACAACAGCTTGACCTGGAGCTGGGCTGCCATGAACTGGCGTAGGATGCAGTGAAGCTACAGTGGGCTGCCATAAGCTACCATGAGCGGCCGGCAGCTGGTGTGAGCTGCCAAGAGCTGCTGTGAGCAGCTGTCTAGTGGCCTGTGACTGATCTGCCTCACCCGGGAAGAGCGCAATGATAATACCAACATGGGCCAGTGAAGCAACATGCTCCACAACTAGACTGAAGAACAAAAGGACAGCAGCTTGTCTGTTTCCCTTCCCTGATTCCCCAACGCTGTTCCCCTACCCCAATTCCCCAATAAAATCTTAAAAAAAAAAAATTAAAGATCCTTCAAATAAAAAGTAAAATATAACAAATCAGGCACAAAATGCATTTAGAAATAGATTAATGCCATAGCATAGGTAAAAGCCAAACTGAGCTTATTAAGATCTTTCAGCTTAAATTATTATTCCTCTATCGTGCATTTTTACTCTGACAACTTCTTGCAAATAATGTGTTTTTAAAATTCCTTTGTATGAGCTGACTCAAAATACTGTACAGGTTAGGTTCACTTTGTTGAAATAGTTCAGGATTCCGAAACTGATGTAAATGGAGGTTTAACTGCTTTCTCAAAGAAACAGTCTTGTTCACTGCTGTATATCCCCCACAGCACTCTGGTATTCTGCAGATGCTCAATCCAAATTCTCGTTGACTTCTGAATGAATGACAAAAAGAGATACTTTCAAGGAATTAAAAGGACATACTATGTACCCTGATTGCTCCATCTCTACACAAGTGTAGCTTGTACCAATCACAAAGAAAGAAAAGAATACATCCCTTCCAATTCAGGTGGGCTCAACAGGAAAGAGCAAATGAAAATTCAATCCTGGCAACTTGGTCAAAACAAAGGTGGATTTCCCTATAACACGATTCTCACCACATCAGGCGCCAAGGCTGAATAATAAAGTCTTCTACCTTTTAGAAAAGATGCACATTGATTGGCCTGACTGGCTAACGGGAATCCCAGTTATATCTACAACATAGTATGACTCACAGCTAGGAATGTGCTCTGGAGGCTCATTATTTAATTAAGAGTAGGAATTACAAGAGCACTAAATGCAATGAAGCAGCACAATTTGCAAAGGCTCCAAATTTATGGTTTCCATTAATTAACATAAAGTAGTGTAGGCAAGTGAAATCAAGTGATCTGCTCAGCTATTAGAATTTTGAGAGTTAATTAATATAATAGCACAGATCATTGAGCTTAGAAATTATGAGTAACATATAGAATTTTAAAGAGTATCATGATCATGTATAATTATAAAAATACTCTTCTGCTCCTTCAAATTGTGTTCTTTTGAAGCTCGGTTCCTTAACTCAATGCAAGATCAGATATGGCTAAGTCCATATGAAGGGAAAACATTTAGAAAATGTGTGAATTCAATTCTACAAACTTTTCTAATAAACGATTGGCTTATTTACTCAATCAGCTATGATAATTACAGACCATTAGTGTCCATTAATAAATAAAACTATTTGCATTTCACAAATGTCTTTGAATCTCAGACTTCCCAAATTTCTCACTAGGAAAGAAAAGGAACAGAAACAACTGTTCCTGTGACCATAGGTTAAAATGCAATGGAGATTAATAATTAAAAATAAATGAATTTTAATGGAGCAAGTTCTCATTTCGCCTCTGGAATTGAGGTAAACATGAGGAGAATCAGAGGCTGTGGAAATCCCACCACCGCCATTCTATACTTTCTGTGTACTCTGTGCTCACCCCTCATTGGACTTCTTAATTTAAGAGCTCTAGAGCATTGAGAGCTATTGTTCCTCTTCATCTGAGTGAAGAGCTGTGTAAATAAAAGTCAATTCTTGCCATATCCATGGAATATAACTTGTTAAAAATAGACATGCATTGTAACCCGAATAGAATTTTCTATGATGTCTTTATATCTTAGTACACTTTAGTACAGAGAAAAAAAAATCTTGTACTTACAGTTAGGACATCAATGATCTAAAAAATATGTTCTCTCTACATAAGCACATATATATTTATCTGACAATTATAGTAACCGTGTACTTAGTACCTAAAATATGCGAGATGCTTTACTATTATTGCTTTATATGGGTTATATCATCATAGGTAAAAATAATCTTGAAAGGTAGGTCCTCATTTTATAAAAAAAGGAAACTGTTATGGGCTGGATTGTGTCCCCCCAAATTCATGTGTTGAAGTCCTATCTCCCAATACCTTGGAATGTGACTATATTTGGAGATAGAACCTTTAAAGGGGTAACTGAGATACAATGAGGCTGTATGGGTGGACCCCAATCCAATAAGACCAGTGTCCTTACAAGAAGAGGAAGTTAGGACACAGACAACACATAAACCAAGTGACAACCCTATGAGGACACAGTGAGAGGGCGGTCATCTGCAAGCCAAGAAGAGAACCCTCAGAAGAAATGAAACCTGCTGACACCTTGATCATGGACTTCTAGCCTCTGGAACTGTGAGACAAAATTTTCTGTTGTTTAAGCCACCATGTCTATGGTGTTTTAATTATGGCAGTTCTAGCAAACTAATATGTCAGGTTGTCGGAAAAATCATGACATATTTTTCTATATTTTTCGTTGCAAAAATACGTCATGATTTTTCCGACAACCCAATATGGTGATTTTAATGCAGTCATTCTCAATTCTAACAGCTGGATATTTTACTTAACCTGGCTTACTGATATTACTAATAACATCTAGGATATGGGTGGGAAAGATTTAAATTCATTCCTCTCTGCTCAAAGAACAAGCTCTTTTTCACCACTCCAGTGATTTAAAAAGAAAAACAAAGTTGGCAAGAGGAAACTTGCACAAAAGCAGGGTGTTTTAACAGATAAAACTAATTCTATTTTGAATGACACATGGGTGAAGGTTGGGAACCCACAGCCCGACCTGCTAGACCATCCCCTTGACACTCCTCACACTGACTCTCTCTCCCTGGTGGCAGTTAAGAAGGAATTAATTTGGGAAACCACTGCAGGATACTGTCGTCACTCTTAAGGAGGCTCCTCTCATTCCCAGATTTGAGCTTTCAAATATTAAAGGTTTTCTGTAAGAATTTGTATTTTTTCCCCATCAGTAACAGTGTAAGTAGAAACTTATCAATATACCCAAGAACTTTCTAAGAGCTTAAACTGTCCAAAATTGTTATTCACTCCTGTTAAGGGGTCAGTTTTCTTCTCAAGCATAGCTGAGATGATAGAGCACCTGGCAAGGTTGTTCCTTAGGGTGTTAAGGTCTCATCTGCTCCAAGAATTACAAACTGGATTTGCAGAATTTTTTAGTGTTACAGAGCCACTTTCAAAAACGAAAAGGATTCAACAAAGAGTGTGGCTGCTTGGTACTAAGCAACACTGATTACACATCTCTATGCATTTTTACTCTTAGCTAAAATTGTCTGGGAAGATACTCCCTAAGAGCTAGTAAAGGCAGCAGAAAGCCCTCATAATTAGCATTTTTAACAGCATTATTGAAGTACAAATAACATGCAATAAACCACACATATTTAAAGTGTGCAATTTGGTAAGTTTCTATGTGTGTGTATCCTCCTGAAACCACCATTAAAATCAATGTAATGAACGTATTCATTACCCCCCAAAGTTTCCTTTATTTCTGCCTTTCCATAATTTCTCCCTCAAACCCTGCTCCAACATTACCCTACCCCCACCCTGCCAGCTCCACCAAGCAAAATCTGCTCTACTTTCTGTGACTAAATATCAATTTGCATTTCCTATAATTCTATATACTGAAATCACACAGTATGTTCTTTTTTCTGGCTTTCTTCATTCAGCATAATTATTTTGCTATTCATCTATGTTATGTGTAGTAATAATAGTTCATTCCTTTATATTGCTGAGTAATATTGCATTGTTTGAATATATTAGTTTGTTTATCAACTCCTCTGTTGAACTTTAGGGTTCCCTCCCCCACAAGTTATGGCTATTATACATAAAGCTACCATGAACTTTAATGTAAAAATATTTGTAAGAACATGCTTTTACTTCTCTTGGGTAAATGTTCAGGGGAATGGCTGGGTGACATGATAGGTGTATTTTTAAATTTTTAAGAAACTGTCAAACTGTTTGCAAAGTGATTGTATGATTTTACATTTCCATCAACACATATGGAAGTTCTAGGCCGTCCACATTCTTGCCAACATTGTGTCTTTTTAATTGTAGACATTCTAGTTGGTATGTAGTGATATTTCCTTGTGGTTTTAATTTTCATTTCTCAAATAACTTATAATGTTGACCATCTTTTCATGAGCTTATTTGTCATTTGTATGTCTTCTATCACGATGTGTCTATTTAAATCTTTTGCCACTTTTTAGAATTAGGTTGTTTTCTTATTGTTGATTTTGAGAGGAATTTATATATTCAGGATTCATATGATTTATGAGATGTATGTTTTGTAAGGATATCCTCCCATTTTGTGACATCTTTTCATTCTCTTGAGTGTCTTTCTGACAGCAGAAGTTTTTAACTTTGATGAAGTCTAATTTATCAATTTTTTTTTTTTTAGGATTGTTCTTTAGGTGTCATCTCTAAGAAATCTTTGCCTAACCCCAAATGATCACAATGATTTTTCTCTTATGATTTCTTTAGTAAATTTTAGAGTTTTCATTTTACATTTAGTTCTATAACCCATTTGAATTAATATTTTTATGTTTTTGTTGCATATGGATATCCAGCAATTCCAATACCATTTGTTGAAAACAAAAACAAAACTATTCCATATCTACCTATTTGCAGCTTTGTAGAAACTCAGCTATCTATGTATAGGCATATGTCTGGGCTCTCTCTTTTGTTCCACTGATACATTAATCTATCTTTATGGTAATACAATAATATCTTGATTATTGTAAATTTAAGATAAATCCTGATACCAAAAAATGTTAGTTCTCCAATTCGTCTTTTATTGCAAAACTATTTAGCTTTGCTAGGTGTTTTACGTTTCCACATTACTTTAGAATAAATTAGTCAATTTCTACAAAAAAAAAAGAATCCTGCTGGGATTTTGATTGGGATTGCATTGAATCTATAGATCAGTTTGAAGAGAATTAACTTCTTAATAGTATTTTGTCTTCTGACCCAAGAACATGACATATGTTCCCCCCTTGCTTGGGTCTTTTTAAATTTCTGTCAGCAATGTTTTCCAGTTTTCAGTGTATAATTCTTTTTTTCTTTTTTTAAACTTTATTGGGGAACAAACAATGTGTTTTTTACAGGACCCATCAGCTCCAGGTCAAGTTGTTGTCCTTCAATCATAGTTGTGGAGGACACAGCTCAGCTCCAAGTCCAGTCTCCATTTTCTAGTTTTCTAGTTGCGGGGGCTGCAGCCCATCATCCCATTCAGGAGTTGAAGGGGCAACCTTGTTGTCAAGAGCATGTGCTCTAACCAACTGAGACATCTGGCCACCCACTGGCAGCTCAACGGCAACTCAGCTCAAGTCATTGTCTTCAATTTAGTTGCGGAGGGCGCAGCTCACTGGCCCATGTGGGAATCGAACCGGCAACCCTGTTGCTCAGAGCATGTGCCCTGACCAACTGAGCCACCCGGCCGCCCTCAGTGTATAATTCTTTTATATCTATCATCAGATTCATCCCAAGCCACTTTTTCTTATTGTTTCATTCTTATAAATTATATCACTTTCTCA